GAAGGGAATGGCAATAGACAGAAAGTAATTGTAGAATTACACAGACTTTTTTTCAACTTTTTAATTCTTATTGATTTATATCAAGAATTAATACACACARAAATACAMAAGATTRTTGCGGAAGATAGGAAAGGAAAACCTAAYCTAAACAATCTTACAAGGAGAAGAACTTTCAAGAACAACACAAAGAGTTCTTGAAAGGAAATGAAGAACACTAAGAACTTCTTCGCACACAGGAGAGAAAGGGAGTAGAAGAGAATAGCTTATTGCTTTTAGAATTCACTAAGTAATCTTGCAAAATCCAGTTATGTGCATGGGAGATGCACATTGCCTTTTTATACTACCTTCAGCATTTAATGCATGGGGACATTTGTCACTTGAGGATAAGAAGGCAGGGGTTGACTTGACCAATGTTGATATCTCATTTTCATCGTACATAGCATGCATACAACACAGTTCATGCAGAGACACACTTTGCAGAGATATGGTCAGTCTGTAGGAAGATCTCCTTTGGATGGATATGTAGCTTCAAGCAGCTACTTACAAATCTTCGGTCCATGAAGATTTTCAATCTTCGGTCCATGATCTTAAATCTTGAGTCCATGAAGATTTTCAATGTTCGGTCTATGAAGATCTTCCTTCAATTTGTAGCTTCAAAATATTTTCAATATGCATTTCAGCTACTTCGGAGTCTTGGTGTGTATATTAGATAGTTGATCCACAACACCGCATCGGTGACCTTCTGTCTTCACATCAGCTAGTCTTCGATTTTGCCATTGGCTTTAACTATGTACCAAGACACCAATATACAAAGAACCAATAACTACTAAGTGTTGCTAAGGTAGAGGAACATATCAATGGGTCATCACCAAATCAATAGGTGACCCAACACCTTGATCTTCCTTGGAATACAGCACGGGTCCGTATATGAGACACTTAACTCTTGAGTAAGAGCTCTGTCTCTTGATGTCTTCTACATGAGAGCTCTTGGTCCAGCCCGCTTCAAAAGAGTAAGTCCTACATACTACAGTAAGAGGCTCTGCATGTACTATGCAGAGGCTCTGTGTCTGGAGTGAAACTCTGCATCATGCACTTAACCATTTTGGCGTTTAAGCCATGATCTTCCTTGGAATACAGCACGGGCTCTGTATTTGAGACACTTAATTCTTGAGTATGAGTTTTGTCTCTTGATGTATTTTGCATGGGAGCTCTTGGTCCAGCCCGCTTCAAAAGACTATGTCCTAAAGACTACAGTAAAAGGCTCTACATGTACTATGCAGAGGCTTTGTGTCTGGAGTGAAGCTCTGCATCAAGCACTTAACCTTTTTGGCGTTTAAGCCTTGATCTTCCTTGGAATGCAACACAGGCTCTATATATGAGTAACTTAACTCTTGAATAAGAGCTTTGTCGCTTGATGTCTTCTGCATGAGAGCTTTGGGAAAATTCAGAGTTGTAAGTCTGAATTTAACTCCGGAGTGGTCATCAAAACCCTATTTAACATTTCAAATTTGGATTTTTGAGGCATTTTTCACAAAGCATTTTTCAAATTTGACCCCAGCCAGGGTCTGCTGCCCTCGGACTCCCGTCGTTTAGGGGTTCACCCCTAAATCAATATAAACTCAAACTAATGTGCACTCCGCACCTTCTTTACTTGTTTGATATTTATCATGATTACATTGGTCAACAATTTAAACCCCATTACACTTAAATGACGTTCGTGATACAAATCACCAACATGAAGTCATCAGATATTGGTTATTTTCTTAGACTTACAATATAACTTTGAGTTGTTCTGTTCCAAACTTAGTTCCATAATTTATTCTCAGACTTATAATACAACTTTGAACTCCTCTTCAGAGTTAAAGTTCAGAGGAGTTCAGAGTTACGTTTATGAGTTATAAGAAGTCAGAATTCTTGTGACTCAGAGTTATGCTCATAAATAATTTCTAGACTTAGAAGATAACTATGAATTCATCTTATTCAGAGTTAAGTCCAGAGTTATTTTTCAACCTAACAATAGAACTCTGAATTCTTGTGTTTCAGAGTTTTCTTTTCGACCTGAGGATAAGTTTCAACTCATTTTTCTCATTTAAAATACCCTGTGTAATACATCTGATCGAACCTAGTATATATATATATATATATATATATATGGAAAAGATTCAAGAACCTTTAAATATATAAATGTATGTATGTATATATTGAGGAAGTATCAAATGAAAAAAAATATATTAAAAATGAGGGAAGCAATCTCAAATATTAGATGATATTTTTTATTGGTAAAGATGGTAAGAGAAACTATGTAAATATACATTTAAAGAACCTCAGGGAGTTGCTGAGACATTTTGAAACATTTGTATAATTAAATTAATAATCCAAGCCATCAAATTACTAATCCACTTATTTTTGAAATCTTTACCCACTTTCTCTTTTGAATAAAAATTAGATAACTAATTTTCTTTTAAATTCAATCAACTAAATTAGAGTAAATTCTAAATTTTGGTACCTGAGATTTAGTGAAATATTTAAAAATAAAACTTAAACTTTATTTATTCTAGAAATCGTTTTTATGATTCTCTTTTTGTTTTGAAAATGGTCATTGATTATTGACTCCATTAACAATGTCTATTAGAATGAGTGGCAATTTTGTCGTTTAGCTATTTTCTTAAATGTCCTTTGGAAAAAATATGATATGTAATTTACATATTATTTCTTAAATTGTATATTATATTTTTTTTAAATTTATTTTTTATATTTATATTAATTGATATATTGTTACTTAAATTATATATTATATTTTCTTAATTTATAAGTCGTTTCTTAAATTTATATACTAAAATTATATAATATGTGTATATATAATAATACTATAAACAATATATATATATATATATATATTTAGTTCAATATAATATATAATTTAGGAAATAATATATAAATTATATAATCATATTTTTTAAAGGATTAAAAAATAGGTGAAAAGACTAACAACCCCTCGTTTTAACAGAGATTGTTAACAGAGTTAGTGATCAAAGACCACTTTCAGAGCAAAATAAGATCCATAAAAATGATTTCTAGACTTATCAAAATTTAGGTCCTATTTTCAAAGTTTTCACTAAATATCAAGGACCAAAATTAAAGTTTACTCACTAAATTATAATCAATATTTTATTTACTAAATTACATAAAAAAACGATATTTCATCATTTTTTAAGATCTACGATGAGATACCTATTTTTTAAGATTTGCATATGAATCTTAAACTAATTTGAAATCTTGATTATAAGTTGTAAATTGATTCATATACAAGTTATGATTAAAATTCACATATAAACCAATACACCTAATTATCACCGTCTGATAATGGTTTGTTCAAATATTTTATGTTTTGTTACATTTCAAACGAACAACAAATAACACTGATGTTTGTGTTTATGAGATTTATATAAATGAAATTTAATACGATTTGTAAATTATAAAATAATCAATGATTTCATGGTGGAAAACTGGATCAAAAATCGATGATTATCAATATGGAAAAAAAAAGGTTATAGAAAAAGTAGTAGATAAGTTAAGATATTTAATTTTTTTTCCATAGTTATCTTAATTATAGTGAAAAGAATTTTGAAAATCAAAATTCAATCTAGTGGTTTAGATTGGTTCTCATATCCTCAATATTTATGTGTTTCTCATTTGAATCTAACACTATGTATGTATGTCAAAATATATATATATATATATATATATATATATATATACACACACACACACACATACACGCACACACAATAGATGAAAACCATAAAAAACAGAAAGAAAAACTATATCAATATAGATGTCATTTTAACGAAAAAAAATCGTTATTTTAATGTAATATATTTCGCTTGAATTTTGTTTATTTTTTGTATTTTTTCAAATAAAAAAATAAGGGATGAGGCTTTTTGAATTTAAAATTTTTTGTTGTAACTGTCCGTTTAATCGCATCCATCAAATCATCTCATCTAACGGTTGATAAGATGTTTTTTAGTTTTTTATTTATTTAATATTTTTTCCTCTAAACCTCTCTCTATACCCACATATATACATGTACATGTGGGGTAGGTTTCGGTGAGAATGAAAGCTATCATGAGAAGCTTAAGAAATGATCTTCGCCCTTGAATCAATTCTAACTAAATGTCAACACTAATAAGATACACCGAAATACACCAGATCAATTTTCTTCAAAAGCGCAATTCGTGAGTGGCATGAGATTAAAAGTAATCAACGATTCAGATCTTTTCTTACACTTATCATCATAACTTCTCCTCATATGATCTTTCACTTGTGTAAGGGCAAATTTGTTAGAAACCTAGAATTGATTAAACCGTCCACAATGCGATACATAGTATATTCATCAAGAATATAGACATGTTATTCATCGTGAATGTGTGATTCATTATTAATAACACTTCCATATTCTGTGATTCATGATAAATAATTGTGATTCATGATAGATAATACTTTCATATTCATTATAAATATCTTATTTATGATAAATATTCATCATGAATATATCACGCTTCATTCCTAATCAATTCTAGTTACTAACGAAACTTCCGTCTCTGCTTCATTCCTAATCAATTCTAGTTACTAACGAAACTTCCGTCTCTGTGTATATATAATAAATGCACTATAGTTAATAAACTAAACAGTAAGATATACTCCAATCGATGGCAAAAACGGTCACAAAGGAGGGACAATGAGAGCATGACACGTGGCAGGAATATTTCAAATAATAGTTGTTCAGTTATGGAGGCTCGGTTGTGGACCGGTTTAGGTTTCCAATGGCTTAACTGATTGGGTCAGACGGTTACATAATTGACCCGATCAGTTAAGGTTGTGACGGTTATGGTCCAGGCCTGAATCCGGTTAATCGAGACCATTACGAAATTCAGTCCCCTTTGCCCATCTCTACCTGTCATCAAATATGCATAAACAAAGTCATCCTCAAATAAAGATTGAGGAAAGGGTGTCAACTAATTTCCATAATGGAACTGAGATTACAAGAATGAATCAAAAAAACAGTTAAAACAACAGCCTGCTACCTGATTTTGATCCCCGAAAAAGAAAAACGAAAAAACTTACAAAAACCGCACATATTTTCAAACGACGGTTATGTTAGTCGTGGCACGACGTTACCAGAACAGCAGTCGTATTCCCTGACATCGGTTGCAGACTGGCAGCGTTCTCAAGCCGATCCCACGCCTCCTTCCTCTTTTCCATGGCCAAAGTCTGTTTTTCTTGTTCCTCCAAGAAACGAGCATGGCAGTCCAGAAACAACATGTTATCCATCTCTATGAACACATTTCTCACGTTGAGTGTTAAGTTAAGAACGGATTGGTTCCAATGACACTGCACATTCATTTCAAGCGATGGGAAAATGATGGGCAAGATCACTTGTCGATTGTGTGCGATTAGATTGAAGATTTGATCGTTGTTCCATAAAAGCAACGCCCTTTCGGCCACCTGAAAGCAAAATGAATTGTCAGGTTGGCATCTTTTATAAGCATCCACATTTCTATTTTAGTCCCAAAGTGTTCGATTTGTTAAAATTTAGTGTCTAATTTCTAATCCTACCCTTACCGTTAAAGGTAAATTGTCATTTTAGATGAACATAATGATTACACATTCCTAAAATTGTAAGCCCTTTTCATCACGGACATTAATTTTGGACAGAGGGAGGGGTATTCGTTTAACCATCATACTTGGCTTTTCACAGCAAAATTATTCATTGCAAGAATGCAAAGAACACCACGTATTGCAAGTAAATACATGATGGAAATTTGTATAAGAATGCTAATTAGTGTGCGATATGAAATAAAGTACAATGCCTCAAAATGAGTTGTGGGATGCTCGGTTTGTTTCAAGAAACTGAAATGGGAACACGAAAGTTGAAGAACGGAAATGGAATGAGTTTCATTCTGCCAATTTGCTGAGAAATGCTTCAGTACCCAAATATCTAGTATTGTTTCGATTCCATTGCATCCTACGCATCGTTACCAAATCTATAGTGTTCATTACAAACTAACCATCATACTTGCAAAAATGTCAAAAAAATATCACCACATTATGCAAGAATGAACCATTTTGGAGAACTTGTAGAAATACAGATGCAAAAATAACCATCATATCTGAACATTTCGTCCAAACTGGTCATTCTTATAAGTTGTAGCATTTTTTTTTGCCATATCATGATGTAATGTACCCTATTATATGCATCCATTTCAATTTTGGCCGAGTTCCAAGCCTAAACTATCCATTTGCCCATGGCTATCAATGTAAAATCAGTCATGTGTCGATTTCAATCTACAGGATTCTCCACTTCCATCTCTACTTAACTTGAAAACTGAATGATCTCAAAGGAACATGAGACTTTGACAAATGACTATAACCAAACTAAACAAACCCAGTATATCACATTCGAAAGTAGGGTCTGGGGTCGGATGTACACATATGTTACCTCAACTACTAGGATCAAGAGGCTGTTTCCGTGAAGATACCTTGCTTTTGCGTGAAGCAAAGGTGCATGCAAGCAGGTAATATAACATGTAATCAGGAAACTATAACATGTAGAATAACTATTAATGGTGCGTGCAAGCAAGCAAGCAATAGAATAGGTAATATAACAATTCAATGGGGTGCAATAATCAAAATCATTAATTGTGTTAGGTAGACAAGAACATACCTGAAAATGGGAACTATTAATGCAACATCCAATACGCCAAAACAACGGAACCATAACTCTTTGGAACTCGGCCATGTTAATTGCTTCAAGAATTTCTTCAACCTCTCCCAAGAACATCACTTCCTTCTGGCTATTCGTAATCGGCCAATACTTCAACAACCCTCTAATTACTGTGCTAGCTAACTTTGGATCCTTTTCTATGAACTGCGTAATACAATAAGACAACTGCTGAAAGTAAACCCCTAAACATTTTGGCTTATGAAGAGGAATCAAAGCCCTCCAAAGAAAAATCTTGTGCTCCTCTTTTAAAGGCAACGCAAACCCCATGATCACGCTGGCAAAAATCTCTAACAACTCAGTTATCCCATTATGGCGCTCGGTCTCAAAAACAAACCGGTAAAATATGTTGCTGATGCTCTTTCGAATGAAAGGCCGATAAACCATGAACTTGCCATAAATTCTATGCATTATGGCCTTTAAAGACTCTCTTTCCCTAGGATCCTCGGATTCATAGAGGTCAAGCACTCTCAATATGAACGAACGGTTTATGTACTTTTTTGCCACTTTGGCTTCGACCGAAGATGAGGTTATGAATTTGAGCAATATATCATACACAATTTGTAAATGAGGCCAAGCGGGATCGAACGAGGGTTCATCGTCATCATTCTCTCCTCCACTGTTAGATCGTGAAGATCGGGAATTATGAGGAAATACTCTAAACAGATTAACAGCACACATCTTACATAATGCTAAAATGGCAGGCTCAGAGAATCTTGGAGGCCCAGATGCAACAAAATCAAGAAGCTCAAGTAACGTTAACCGTTTGAGATCTTTTTCAGTTGTGTTCTTAGTAGGATCATTGAAATCGAAAACAATACAGCAAAGACTTAACTTACTGATGAAAAGTGACATCTTTTCTGAAGCTGGAGCATCTTTGAAGGGTAAAAGAGGCTCAATCCCAGCTATAACACTTGATGGGAAAACTGCTGATGATGTTCTTTTCACTGTATTTGGTCTTGGTGATGCCCCATTTAAGCTTGTTGTTCTCTGAATACCGCCATTACTGAAATCATTTGAAGGATCTTCTAAAGAATCAGACTTGACTGATTTTCGGGGAAGCTTACCTAGAAGTTGCTTCAACATTGTAAAATTAACAGTTTTCAAGTTCTTGAGTCAATTGAAAACACACGATATCACTCAGATCAAAGTTATTGCATTTTGGGAAAAAGAACCCATCTTCAGAAACTCTAGAAAATTCCACCGAAAAAAGACCCAGAAACCAAGAAACCCTAGGACATGAACATAGCAACAATGGAGATTTTAATTGGGAATTCTGGAAAACGAAATAATAAAAAAAGAACTTCAAAAAAAGCCTAGAAATCCAAGAAGTGGTTTCAAATGTAAGATCTGGACCAGAAAAGCCACAAGATCCACTCCATGAATCTAACAATCAAAGTAAATCAGATCTTGCAGAAAACCCATGTCTGGGTCGATCAAAAAACGATATTTTTTCCCCTTCTCTCACCAAAATGGTAAAGTCAGATAGAGAAAAGAAAGAGCGAGTAAAATCTTGTAGATCTTTTTGATAAAAAATACAAAAATTTCAAGGCACATGAAGCCAAAAAGCTTCAGTTTTTACTTTTTAGACGGTCATTACGATCCTTTTTTGGCATAACGAGTCTTTGATGAAGAACACAACTCTTTGTTTCTTTACAGATACAAACAGATTCAGGGAAGCGAAGAATTGGGGGGAATTGAAAAATTAATTCAAAGGGCTCAAGATTCTATAAAGACAGAAGAAAAGCAGAGAGAGAGAGAGGGAGCTTTTAGAGAAACCCGAGATGGATAAATATGAGAATAATTTTTTAAATAAATTCAAGGATGTTAACATAATTATATTTTATCGTATGACAAGTTTGTGATTATCTAAAAGATATAATGATTAAGATATAAATAAATATGTTAGAGATAAATTATAATTAATATTTATAGTAGTTATCTATTGTATCTCATCTTTATTAAAAGGTTTTCGGTTAATGAGAATTACAGATTTATTCTTTCTATTTTATTGTTGTTTTATGTCAGTTATTGTATAACATGTTATCAGCATGTAAGCTTGTATGGCATCCTTATTTAAAAAGTTTTTTTATTAATGAAAATTACATATTCATTTTCTCCATTTTATTATTGTTTTCTGTCAGTTATTCTATAACATGTTATCAACGTGTAAGTTTGTATGTCATCGTTCTGATTGTTACTGGCCACCAGCCTTTTAGCTGTGCTTAATGCTATCACGACCGTCACCCACTGCTAATTCAAGTAAGTTTTTCTTTTACGATTTTTTTATATTTGTCTATAGATTTGATAGCTATGAAAACTCAAAATATACTTGTTAATTTTTAATTACGTGATTATACATAGGCGTTCTGATAATGATTTGATGGAGTAGATCAGTAGAATAAAACATTATCATAAGATATGATTTAATGGGTAAGAATTAGAATTTGGGCCAAAGGTTTTTTTCTTGGGCTTTTCTATCTCCACCCCTCTTATTTCTTTTCCCCTAGTTTTTCTACACCCCCACAATAAAATATATTAAAATTTATTTATTTTATTTTTTAATTTTAACCCTTAATATTTTTAGTTTTAACTCTTTAATTTTTTAAATATTTTCCTATTATATCCTTTATGTTTTTT